TCTTGCTCTTGATTTTTCTGTCATATTGCCAAAAAAGGCAAAATAATACCAATTTAAATTATTTTAGTGAGAATTATCTTTGATAATATTCTCTCATATACAATATGTGTTTTTAGTAATATAATCAGAAAATCTATGTGCTTACTCAAATACTTCATTTTTAAGGTTTTCTAATTCCAGTAACTTTTGGAAATTTTTGCTACCTTTAAACTATATGTATGTATGCAATTGGGCTAACCATTTAATTTTTCTTATCTCAGTTAATATGAACAATGATGGTTATAAAGAGTCAGTAAAAGAAATTTCTAGAGATAAATACTCCAGCTTAGTTTATAGTGTTTTTGTCTCCACCCCAGCTTCATTGTTAACATACAATGGACTTCAGTTTTCCCAGGATAAAGTCCATTTCTATGAATATTGCCAGCCTTCAAACAATAACACACATTGTGTATTCATTCTGCCAGTCTGTGCGAGTTCATATGTGCATCTTTCCAGCTGTGTTTACAGAGCCCATTTCCTTCACATTTCCCCTTCACACTGGCCCTTACTCCCTTTCCACTTCCTCTTCTGCAGAGTTACTGAACCCTGTAAGGCTGAATTAGATGGAGACGTTGCATTTAGGATTGAGCATTCCCGGGTCTTTCACTCTCTATGGTGTCCACCTGTGGGTCTCCTGGATCCACTTGGTCCTGAGTATTGTGGAGGGTGATAAATATGATTTTATTTGCACCCTGTATACAGACATTCAGATTGATTAGAGTTATTTGCTGAAGAAATTTTTCAAGTGTGCATTTCTGGCTTCTTTCTCATAAACCCCGTGTCTTGAGGTTTGGTGACCTATGCATAGATTTTCAATGTGATTTGGTCAACTGACATGTCTGATTTTATGCCAATACCATGCTGTTTTAATTATGGTTCTATATAGAAATTTAAGATGAGGTATGGTGATTAGTCATTATCTTATTATATAAAACAGTTTTAGCCATTTTTGGATTTTTTTCTATTTCCATATGAAGCTGAAAATTATCCTTTCAAATTCCATGAGGAGTTACATTGGAAATTCTGTGAAAAATATCTTATCATTTCAAGCAAAAAAAAAAAAAGATTTCCTATTATTGGGTGCTAAAATGCTTTTAAAGATGCAAACTGAGTGGTAAAGTGATTTCAACATTTTGTCTGTAATTATTTCAAAATGATTTTTTTATTTAGAAGTTCTTTGCACATTAAAAGGTATTGATGTTGAAGAAAATTTTTTGTGTATTTTTTCTAATACTCCAGCAACCAATTGTCTAAAAATATTTGAACAATTATAATGAAAGTAATAGCAAACAAGTGTTTTGATATTCGGTGCAATCACACCTTAAATTAAAAATGTGTGTGTATTGAGTATGCATACACATGTTACTGTGTTAATAGATGTATGTTCATGTTTAAACCAAAGGATTACCTCAAGTTTTTTCTTACAGGTGACCCTCATTTTTTATAGAGAAGGTTCCTCACTGATTTGAAACTTGCTAGGGGAGGCTAATCTGCTTGACCAGTGAATCCTGAAGACAAGCCTGCCTCCAAGTCTCAGTGTTGAGGTTACAAACATCAACACCTCAATCCATGTTACATGAATTCTGGGGACTCAAGTGTCATTATGTTTGTAAATCAACTAAGCTATTTCTATAACCCAAATGTACTGGTTCTGGGAGCTACAACCAAGTCCCTAGGTGTGTGTGTGTGTGTGTGTGTGTGTGTGTGTGTGTGTGTGTTGGTGTGTTAGTGTACATGGCTAGTTATAAGCCTGTGGAGTTGAGAAGTCTGTTTTGAATGTGTTCCTCTATTACTTTTTACGTTATTTTTATTAACTTTTTGGAAGAGTCTTTGACTAAAACTTGAACTCCCTTTTTGGATAGAGGGACTATTTAGCAAGCCCTTGGGATCTCCTTTTCTTTAACCTCCCATGGCTATTGTTCCTGGCTCTTGCTTATATCTTGGATTTTTATATCAGGTAGGGATCTGAGCTCAGATCCTCATGCAGCAGGCAGTTTACCCATAGTTCCTACTGCCCAATCCTGCTATTTGCCTTAATAGTTCACAGTTTGAACCACTAAAAATACAGGCATGTATTTATATACATGCATGCTGGATTTTTCTTAAAGCAATACTATTTTTAGTTCCCTACTGAAAATTTGACAATTTAATATTACCTTAAGGCAGCACCATTTTCTTATGCCATTTTCTACCGGGGCACTAAAGCCAAGAAAATTAAGTTTATTCAACACTTGTGTCTTTTAAAAGGATAATGATTTCATCTAGTTAAAGCTGTCCTGGCCTACTTAGTTTATTTCAGGGAAAGAAATTGCCTGTTCACTCATGATAAGATAATTTGTCACCTTGGAAATTAAATTACCCATCCCTGTTTACCTTGAGGAGCTGTGCTATATAATACTGACTTGTTCTCTTAGCAAATTTATATTGCAATGTACTCAGTTCAATGAGAACATGTGTTGTATAATCAAAGACTGTAGGGGAATTTAAAAAGGACCAGGCTTGGGTCCTAATCAAAACTGAACTTGAGAAATTTATTAAATCACAAAGGAATTGACTATTTGATATTTGAATTCCCAAAGGATTTTCATATTTTTCTTCAGCATAATTTATTCCACAGCATACTGACTGAATTCTAGGTTTAAATAGATTTCAATGTGTAAATATTTGCTATTAGTTTATGTAACATTAAACAAAAATATAACCTTGAAATCTATCTTATTTAATGATATTACAAGCATAGCTATAAATAACTCCATTGAAACCAAAACATATTATTTCTGAAGTTGTACAACATTTTTGAAAAATATAATTATCCTCCAGGTCCGTATAATTTAGATATAACAGCCTGCATATTGAAATTATATAATATGTAATATATATCTTATTTAGTTTTAGAATGTCTCATAAACATATTCAATATGTAGCTGATCTTTCACAATTTGTTGCAATAGGACAGTCACAAAGAAACCTTTAGCTAACACTTTTAACTAAAATATTTGAAGATATTTAAGTAGCATAAATAAACAGTAAATTTAGCAAATAGGAAATGTGTTAGCAAATCTCTTTCTATTGGTTTTCTATTAGTTGCTATATCTCCAGTGTTTTGTCTAGTATATGATTACCTAACTATCACAGAAACCTGAGAATAAGAACAGAGGTTCTGGTAATGATTAAATGATTAGTAGATAACTGTTTTTTAAAAGGTAATGATTTTGATTTTGGCCACATTTTTACCCCACAAATTGATATGTCATTTTTTTTATTTTCAAGTAGATGAGAAAGTTACATTATTTGATAACAAAGTCTCTGTAAATTTAATTATCTAAGTTGACATGAAGTCTTAATCCAGTATGTTTCATGTCTATTAAGAAAGAAAAAAATAATACACAGGCACAAACAGTGAGTATGGTATGAATGTGATAAAGATAGACTGAGGAGATTAACAAGAATACAAAGTGATGCTAATATAACCTCAGAAACTGGTTAACAGATCTGGGTCAGACCTTTCACAGTTTCCCTAAGTATCCAGTCCAGCCAGCACCCTAGTTTGGGAACCTAGCTCCAACTTGGTGAGACTATCTGTTATTATTTGAGTCGATGGTCTACATTTCCTTTTGTTGAGAAGTAGATGAATGTTTATATATTATTTCAATATTGTACACTTTTGACATATGTCATTACTCCTGATCCTTAGAGTGATCTGCTGTGTTTATGTGGCTATTTCATCCTAATTCTGCTTGTGATTAAATTGTCACTCTTGTACCTGAGAAGCTTTATCAAAGTGTAAGAGACAGATTAGGAAGAACTCGAACTAGATTGTGAATAAAAATTCTATACTGTCCCTTATATGTAATAGATGATATTACATATGTATGTATTACTTATAATATTACTTATATATGTATACAGTTGTTAATGTAGTACTTAGTTTTTATATTTGAAATAAACCCCTTGCACTCTTGCCTTTCCCTGGATGTCTGATTGGTTAGGGTAAGGTAATTGGTGGATTTGATTCTTTAAGCATCTTAGCAACTGTCTTTAATATTTTAATATTTAATTCCAATATATTAAAATATAGCATTAAAACATAGAATTCAATTTAATCCCAATAGAGTTCATATTCTGGAAAAGGTTAAAATAGAAAACAAAAACAAACACACATATCTTTGTGGTCTGACTTGAGTTTTTCCTTAAAAGTGAAACGTCTCTTCCTAATGAATACAGCAGGGAAGTATTTAAACAACAGAACCATCTTGTGCTAAGTAGGGGACATCAATGGTCAGAGGTCCAATCAAGGCAGAGAACTGAACCTCCCTACAAGAGTGTCTCTCTTTTACTGAATTAACACCCAGTAACCTATGCAATTGCTTCCCAACAAGGAATTAAAATGTACCAGGTATAAGAATTCCAAGGACATTACTTGTATGGTTCTCTGGATGTTGAATTGGAGAAGAACATGTATGGAGGGAAAGACCTGAGATGCTGAGAGAACAGGAAGTACTCTTGTGTTAACTCCTGAAGTGATCTGGGGATGCTGGCAAGGTCACAATGAGAAGGAAGATGAAGTGTTCACTGTGTGACACTTGACTGTGGTTAAGGCCGACCAAATAAAACTCATGCTGGAATGATCATTCAGCAACTCATGGAATCCTGCCTTGAGTGTTGGAGATGAAGAATGTCCTTGTTGATTTTTTTTTATATTTTTTTTGAGAATAAGAAAAAAAAAGTTTCTGCCTCCTCCCAGCCTCCCATTTCCCTCCCCCTACTCCCCACTCTTCTCCCCATCCCCCCCACTCCTCTCCCCCTCCCTCTCTAATCCAAAGAGCAGTCAGGGTTCCCTGCCCTGTGGAAAGTCCAAGGTCCTCCCCCCACCGTCCATGTCTAGGAAGGTGAACATCCAAACTGGCTAGGCTCCCACCAAGCCGGATCATGAAGTAGGATCAAAACCCCTTGCCATTGACCTTGGCTTCTCATCAGTCCTCATTGTTCGCCATGATCAGAGAGCCCGGTTTTATCCCATGATTTTTCAGTCACAGTCCAGCTGGCCTTGGTGAGCTCCCAATAGATCAGCCCCACTGTCTCAGTGGGTGGGTGCACCCCCAGTGGTCCTGACATCCTTGCTCGTGTTCTCCCTCCATCTGCT